TAAATCATACAAACAAATCATATTACTAGACATGAAGATTTTTTTAAATAATCATTTTTTAGAATAACTTTTAGATCGATTAGTGGGTCTATTTTATTCTGTTATTTTTGTTACTCATATTTTCTTCTCTGCGCCATTATTGTTTGTGAAAACGAGTTAAGAACTTATTTTATAAAATATTAAAGAAGGAAATCAGTTTTTCAAAATTTAATATTTTAAAACTATATTTAATTTTCTTATAACTTTGATAAAACTTTCCAGAAACTTTAACAAACAGTTTATTTTTTGATATACTACAACTTTCTTAGTTAGAAATTTTTGATATATAATATATAATATTTGATATATCTTTACCCATATCTAGCCTATGCAGCCTCTGCAGGACCAGGAAGTTTGGAAAGAAATTCAAATAATTTTTATAAGTAAAAATAATTGTGAAAAAACATCAAAATGTTCAAAATAAAAAAAATTAATCAGAAATGATCAAGTAGAAATCTGAAGTGATCAATGAATAAAATTAACATGGATGAGCCTAGCAAGAGAAGTTCCGGAGGCAAAAGAAGGAGGCAAATTGAAAACAAGTTGCAAACCTAAATATTGTTGCGTCCTTGCTAAAGTTGACTTATTTTTTTGTAAAAAAACAATGTGATGCATTATTACAAAAGGCGGTGGATGCAACCTTGAACTCCATTAGTGTACGCAGTGAAAAGTTAGTTCAGAATATCGAAGTACTTTCTACCTACCACGGCAACTATATACGTCAAAATAACAACTTGATTAAGTTCATCACAACAAATCAACAAAAAGAGAAGTTGACGCCACTGATATTTCAATTTTCTCCATTTACTAATTTTCAAAAAAGTTATTTTTTTTGAAAACTAGTAATTAGCGCAATTGGCGTAATAATTAGCATAATTGTATATTCTGCTAAGAGGGATAGTTTTTACTGCCAACTTTGCTTCTTTTTCAAGAAAACTAAGAGTTCTTTAGCAAGCAAAGATTTTGCAACTGGAAAGTTGCTCATTAGGCAATCAGTGAGCATGAGCAATCTGCTGAACCTAGTAATGCTACCTCCAGTTCCAGAATTGATTTCAAATTTATAGATTTGAATTTTTCTAATAAATTTATTAGACAATTTCAGAGTGAAAAAGAATATAGGAAAAAATGCGTTGCGTCGAAGGGTATCTGTCACCAAATTTCTTCGAGGTAAAGTCTAATTTTGTTTATATTTTTAATTTTGTTTCTATTTTATATTTTGTTTATAGTTTGTATTTTAAATTTTGTTTATATTTTTTGATTATTTATCTTTTTATAGATAAATCTATTATTATATACATATTTAACTAGGACTAAGAACAAAAATCTAACGAGTTATTATTTTACGCTTAACGCATCAGAGTGTTAGCATTTTGTGGATCGAACCAAAAAATTGAATCATTCAATTTGTTTGACTCATAAAAGTTACTCGCTGACTCATAAGAGTTATCCTCTAACATTTGTAAAAAGTTCATCCAGTAACTTGTCTATTTGCTTTTAGAAATAATTGATGGTTATTAATCCCTTTTATATTTTTTATTTTATATGCTTTGAAATCGCTTTAAAAAGAGCACTTTACAAGTTTGAAATAGCATTTGTTAATATTGTTAAATTTCTTTCCTACAGTATTAAACCTCAAACTGCCGGAAAACCAGTTGAACGTTTTTTATCATTTGTTCCACTCAGAGGTCACGGGGCAGCTGATATGTATAATCTTGTGGAAGAGACATTAGAGATGCACGACATCAACATTAGTGATTGCCGTGGGCAGTCGTATGATAATGCGACTGCCGGATTGAAGTTTATTGAGGCGATGGCGGATTAAAGTTTATTGAGGCATAAAACTTTACTTGAAGAGAAAAAATTATTGCTTAGTTTAAAATCATCATGGATTAACTTTTAACTTGACAGGCGAAAGAAAGTTTTTGCTCTATTTATCTCTTGTTTCGGATTTCTTGTCCATCTTTAAGATATAGATTCTATTTCAATTACATTGAACATCCTAGAGCTTTTAAAATTATACAAAAACAATGTGGACATTTATTTTCCATATGAATGTCTGCATTTCAAGAGCTTCGTTTCCACTTAATTGATATTGGTACCGGTGATCAAAGAAACTTTTATCTACATATCTAAACGTCGATGTTGTTCTGAGGATGCTTTTTTCTGCGGCTGTTAGAAATTGTAAAAGTAGAAAACAAAGATTTTTCAATGGTTATTCTTTATATTACCTTGTTTTAACTACCTTATTGGTTAATTACTTGTTGGTTTTGGTCTTATGCAGTAATTTATTATATAAAGTATATAAAAAGTTGTGTTTTAGTGGAGGAGGGGAAAAGGTAGGCTGGAGAGGCCACAACCGCTAAACCTGGTAGAGTTATGGATAATTTTGTTACAAGAATTTGTCTTTTTAACTTTAAACGGTATTTCCATTGACATTTAAATCTTACCTAAAAAGTAACAGGATTTGTAAGGAAGAGTAAAAATGGATTAAAAGAGTATAATGAATGATTTTTATCTCATACATGTCCAATTAACTGTTAGTTCTGTAGCAACTGAATTTGTTGAAAAGCTTGAAGTGTTAAACTTTTAAAAATGCATTTTTTGTATAAAGAAATCATTTATGGACAACGAGAGAGTTTTCAAGTGAGAGTAACCACCAATCTAAATAAATAAAATTGACCAAAAAATAACATTCATTTTTTTTTAATTTCAAAAAGCAACATTTATTTTTGATATAGCTTAAATATTTTTCGGACATTTTTTAACTTTGATCATATTTTTCCTATTGAGTGTTTTTTCTGTCAAGGATTGTAAAACTTTTTTTGTAAATATCTTTATTTAATTTTTTGTTACAGAAAATACAATTATTGAAACTAAACTTTTATGAGTTGTTGTCGATAAAAATATTTTTTGGAAAAGATTTGTTTACCATAAAAACAAAAATTCACTCATGCTGAACACCTATTTAAGTAATGAAAGAGCCAAATATTTATCAAATTAACATATACCAAAATATACTGTTCATGCTAAAATACACAAGATCAGGTACCATTTCATTTTACAAGTAATGTTTTATTACACCATTTAAAAAAATAATTTTTTTTAAATCTCAACTTCATATCGAGGCCGACAAACAAAATAAAAACAAAATAAAAATAAAATAATAAAATAATAATAAAACTAAAGTTAATTAAATCAAATAAAAATACTAAATAAAAAAATTACTAAAATTAAAACGGTTCAAAAATAGTTATTTTTTTTTTATTATTATTATTATTATTATTTTATTTACACAGTTTAGTAAACCATTTTATAATAAAATAGCTTAAATAACAAATCGTTACTCAATAAAAAATATGTAAAAGGTGAAACAAATATACAAGTATAAACCTCATAAAAGTCCGATACATAAATGACTGGAGTGCAAGTTATGGTGATTGGATGTGGAATTAACACTTCGTAGTTTCAAATTTTAATACACAATTATGTGTGTAACTTTTTATACTCTTCTGACCAATGTTTTACAAATATTAATTTATACATGTTTTACAAATATTAATTTATATATGTTTTATAAATATTAATTTATATATGTTTTACAAATATTAATTTTTAGGCGTCAGCAACAGTTTCATTACTCTTGCATAAAAATGTTGTAAAATTTATAACCTAAATTTCGTAGTTTGTTTTTCATTAAAGTTTTATGGTATCAGACGAATAGAATTAATACCCAAATTAAACACCAAAATTAAAACAAATAATATTAAACCTACTGCATAATTTACAAACATATGTATGAATGTTTATATGCATCAAAAGATATAATATTTGCTATTTATAACTTTTCGATATTTTCAATTTTTTGTTTGATAATTAGCAAGATGATAACGACAATTTTTATTCTCGCACGAATACAAAACAAAAGTTTTGTATTCGTCAAAAATTTTATTTTATAATAGTTAAGAATAACTGTTATTATTAACTATTTAGTAATGTTTTCAGACATCAGTTGACAACATATATTACTGATTTCGATCTAATGTTGACGGATAACTGTTTTCATATTGAGCTGAGCCAGACGTTTTTTTACTGATGTCGATCCGACGTCGTTTTACTGATGATTATGATTATCATATTTTACTATCATAACCAAAACAATGTTGTCGAGATGTAAAACTAACCATTAACATCGGAACCAGAACTAACCATTACCATCGGAAAAGTAACCATTACCATCAGAAAAATTACAACTGTAAAAATACTTCCATTGATTTCGATTGAAAATTAAAACGCCAATTTTTTTTTTTACTTAAAAAGTAGCATAAACATAGTATAAATGATACTATAAATATATAGTATAAATGATACTATAAATAAACTTTACACACTATAAATGCCGCTTTCACTTAAAGGAATGCTTTAATCAAGACGCAACCACAATAAAAAGTGCTGTAATAATAAAAATGGACACCAAAGATTATAACAGTATAAATTTTTGTTCATAGCGATGCATTTTCTATAAATAATTAATTAAACTTAAATTAATAAATTGATATAAGCAAAAGTTTAAATGTCACGCATGTTAAACACTTAAGTGTTAACAGACGTCACACGTCACACAAAGTTCGCAGTTTTTAAATCCAAAACTTTAAGTGGAAAAAGCTTAACGTATTTTCTTGAGCTAATAGCGTTAAGCTTAAACTGATCGCATTTAATATTTTTTTCAAATTTAGCTTTCAAGCATAATTTTGAAAAAATCATTTAAGGCTACATATTTGAAAAATTTTATTTTACAAAGCATATAAACATTTATTATACAAAAATATATATCTTTTTACAATTATTCCAATCAACTTTAACTTTTTATTTTTATTTTTGTAACCATCCTATTTCCTTGAAAACATGAATAGTCTATTTTAATTAACAATATATGATGATTTGAGAATAAAAATAGACACTTTATCTCATCTGGCAAAATATGATGCTTATTAATATGTCGCTGTTACGTTGCTTTAATATAAATTTATGATGAAATGTGCGTAAATTTTAAATTTTATAAATATAAAGTATATAGCAGATTTATATGAAATAAATATAAAATAAAATTTAATTGAATTTAAATCATGTATAAAAAAAGATACGGTTATAAGATAAAAAAAAAAAAAAAAAAAGATATTGTATAAAAGTACAAGAGCATTTTATACAAAAACACACAAAAAAGTATATATATATTCATATATATATATATATATATATATATATATATATATATATATATATATATATATATATATATATATATATATATATATATATATATATATATATATATATATAATACCTGTATATTATATCTATATTTTGTTGTAGAAAGGTAAAACATAGAAATAATACCTGTATACCGGCATAGATATAATACCTGGTTTATTAAATTAAAAAATTTTTATCGCTATTTGCTTTCTCTTTCTTTTATTTACAGTAGAAAGTGTTTAAAAACATCTGCGTAACCATAATATATTTGAATGTACCTAAAATAATTATTTATTTACAGTTTAAAGAACTCTTGTACGCTTCTTCATGAGCTATAAAAAAGTCTGAAAATATGGCAGAAAAAAGAGACTTAATTTTTGAAGATATTAATGAGTTGATAGCAAACTCAGATCGACTAAAACTTAGAAGAAATGCTATAGCTGAAGAAAACGAAGAAGTCGCTAAAGACGTAATTGCAACAACATTAAATCAGCTCACAATCTACGATAGTACTGAAAAACCTCTCGTACCTGTGTCTACGGGTTCATAATTTCATAATGGAGTTTTTTTATTTATATCAAGTCAAACTTTTGCTTGTATTGTAAAGAAAAATTGAAGAATTTTTTTTTGCTATAAAAATGAAGGAAAAAAGAAAAAAAAGAAAATGAAGATTAAATACATTATAAACTTCAAAAGAGCAAAAGAAAAAGAAATAGAAAAAGAAGGTTCGTCGACTATTTCTTTATATGAAAAAGACATGTTTTTTATAAAGTGTTTTTTGTAAATATCATATTTTTCCTGAATTTATATTAAATTTACTCAATCAACGAAGCATTCAAATAAGTTTCCTTTAAAAAAAATCTGAAACTGCCATTTTGCATGGTACTTTTTAAATATTTGGGAATATTTTTCTTATTCTTTTTACATTTTCTGGCAAAATAAAAAAAATTGCTATATTTACAAAAATAAAAAGTACATACGTGGGAGGGAACTTTTAATGAAATAAAAGGAAATCTAAACACTGATTAAAATAATATGTTATCTATTATTGGAAATTTAATAACGATATTACAAAAAATATAAAGAATTCGATTCTTTTAAATTTGCCTTTGATAACATTTTTGTAGTTTTTGATGTTTCTAGTTATCCTTAATACTTTTTGTTATCTATAGCAGTTTTTCTAACAAGCAAATAACGTTGATTAAACAGCGCGTTATCGAACGTGCCGAAAAAAGGTTTATTTTAAAAAAATATATAATTTACAAGTGAGTGAAACATTTTTAAACGAATTAAGGCTTAACCAATCGAAATTTAGTAAATAGCTCACTAAAGTATGCACCAATAATTTTTTGTTGAATAATATTTAACAAAATAAAACTATTTAATAAACCAAAAACAAAGTTTTTGTTAGTCACGAAATACCGTTGTCTGCGTGTCACGTGTCACGAAATACAGTTGTCTGCGTGTAAAAAAAAAAAAACATAAAGTGCATGCCATACGACAAAAAATTAATATCGAACAAATACAATGATAATTATAATTATATAATTTTAACAAAAAACTATTTAATGTTTGCTTTCAGTATTTTTCTAACGAATTTTTTTGTATAGTTATATATATATATATATATATATATATATATATATATATATATATATATATATATATATATATATATATATATGTATATATATATATAAATGCATTGTATGTTTATACTCATTTTATCTTTTTTATTTTCGTTAATTATTTTTTCTTTTGATAATACGTTGCAGAATTACAACGTTCCGTAAAATTTACGTATATTTTCCATCAGTTACCTGATTTATAACTTTATATATTTTTTATTATCGATGTAAATTTTTTATAAAGTATATATTTTAACTTTCTTATTGATATTTTTGTATATATATTTTTTGAAGAATAAAACAAAACCGAAATCGAAAGTACCAAAATAAAAAAGTTATAACTTTAATTTTTCATTCTTTAAAAGCAAGTTAATAGCACAATACATAACATGAAATGAAAATTTAAATGATAAAATTGCCAAAAGGTTTTTACTTTATTTAGAAGAATTGTGGAAATTCTTAACGGACAATATTAATTATATTGCGTTTATTTAGAATTTTTTAAAACAGATTTTTAATACCTTAAAGGTAATGTGTTTTGTATTAAACATAATTTATCACAATAAAGTTCAACTTTTAATTAGAGAAGATTGTCTAGTCTACTTAAATGTCTGTGTATTACTGTCTACTTAAATAATTAGCTTGTTTATTAAGAATCAAAATTATCTAATAAAAATAAGGATGATTTTAATCTTTCTATGAAGTTAAAAAAAAGACGTTTTTTATTATAACCAAGATTTTTAAGTCTCTTTAAAACACCCTTTAAAACACCCTTTTAAACACTCTACATTTATAAAATTAATCTACATTAATAATCTTGAAAGATCATAACGTCACTGCAAAGCAAAACGCAAATCTTAAGTCCGTTTTTGCTGTTCTAAGAAAAAGAAATTTAAAGTTTTAAATTTGTCACTGCGTTTGATCTTTAGGATTAAACCTAATTGTTTTTAGTCAGTTTATAGCAAATTCTATTATTTTTCATAGTATAACAAGTTTAAGCAATTTAACAGGTCATCTCGACATAAAGTAGTCTTATAAGGATCTTAAATATGGAAAACTTTACAAATTATATATTTTAAGTCCATAAATTTTATTCAAGTATTTAATTCTTTATCACTTTATTAAGTTAATTAATTAGTGCTAATAATAAAAAGCTCCAGTTGTACCATATCGTGATAAAAGAACTTGCTCTACGTCAAAAGCGGCAGTTACAATCACCTGTTTTTTTATTGCTTCATTCTTCTTTTCTTCTTTATAAGCTCGAGTAAATTTTTTATCGCTGACATGTTTGTTATACTTTTGACAATCTTTATCACTCTTTTCTATTTTGTTCGTGAAATTTTTGCAAGTTCCACACTAATCTTTCTTAAGTTTTTAGAATTTCAAACTACGTTTAAAAACAGAGAGTTGGGATAAGTTCTTCAGTACCATGGTTGTTTCGAAATTTTCATTGGCGCTGTTGATAAGTCATGGTTTGCATTGGTCGTTTACTGCATCCTGTAAAACAATGTAAAACATAATGAAGTCATCTCATTGAAGTGATCATTACAATTTTATTTTTATTATATTAGGAGAGAAAACCATAGTTTTTGTGTAGCATACATTACGCCAGGGCCTTCGAGAGGGAGGGGAAAAGAGGGCAAATTGACCCGGGCGCCAAGCTTTAAAGGGGCGCCGGGCAATCCGTTCGTTGTTTTTTTTATTTATTTTTTTTATTATTATTATTTTTACAATAAATATAAAATATTTTAATGACTGACAATTTGAAATCTGCTTAGTTTTAGTTTTTAGTTTTTCGAGTGCTCATGAAAAAAATAATTTAAAATTTAAAATCTATTATTATAATTTTTTATAAACTATTTTTTACAAAAAAAATACAATTTATTGAAGTAGAATTAGACGGAAGCGGGCGTATTCCATAAGCCTGTGAACAGTTAACAATGCTAGCTCAAGCTTGATTGTTTGGAAGATGATGCAATGTGGTAATTATAATGGTAACTGATCAAATATCGCTTTGAAGCAGTCAACACTAATAGAACTGAAAACTTCGTTTGGTAATGCATTCCAAGGGTTCGCTTCAACTTCTTGCAAAAAAACAAACACACGAGACATTTTTTGTCGATTTTGCGATAGTAGCACTACTCTTTTAGGTAGTATTTGACTTAAAAGCAAAAGAATCATAGCTTTGCATTTTTTAGACAAATAAGCAACTTTGCCACTACTAGCACCCCAACAGTTATCAAATATTTGAGTTTTTACATCTTTTTGTGCCTTCTAGGAATTTAACTTTTCTAGATAAAAGCAGCCGTGGTACAGTGGTAGCGCACTTGCCTCAGACACGTAAGATCAGTGGTTCAAACCCCACCTCTGAGCAAGTTTTGCAACATCGGTTGGGAAGGAGGCGTGAACTTCACATTAAATGCTCTTCCACGGTGCTCTGTGATAAGACCGTGAGGACTTCTTGGGGCACCTTAATCAACTTAAAAAAAAAAAAAAAAAAAAAAAAAAGATAAATTATTTAAAGTTTTCACAATATCAACTTCAATTACTTATTTAATTGTTGTAATAATTTAATTGAACTTGTTGATTTTAATAAAATTATTACAAAAAGTTTTTTCTCCTCAACTATGTCTGCAGGTAGTGCTTCCAATACCGATACCATTTTTCAATACCGGTATATCGGTACTAAATAATTACAATACCGGTAATACCGGTATAATACCGGTATGAAACTTTATTTTTATATTTATCATAATCTAAATAAAATCTCAAGTTAATAGTAAAAATTTTACTGATTCAATCAGCTTATTTATTTTATATCAAAACTACTGACTTTTTCATTTTTCGCTTTTTTCTGCTTTGTAAAATGAGCCCGTAAAAAACATAGGGCGTTCAGAACATCATTTTCAAAAGATCATCTAATTTTGTTGGCTTCACAGTTTTCAAGTAATGGTAGGAATTTTGCAAATATATACAACGATTTCCTCCTTCTTTAAAAATTCCTATTTCAATTCATATAATTTTTGATGAATTATTCGAAACATTCAATTTTCCCTTGTTGTTACATTTCTTATTTTTCAAAATTGCAAAGTCAAGCTTTTTTTTCAATGACAAGTTTACAGCGTTGTCCACAGAATCACTATCGGAAAAAACGCTGGTGAAAGGGAGAGGACCATACCCTTTCTGATTGAGCCGATCTTTCAGTCGAGTAATGGTATTTACAATGGCTAATTTGCTATGGTGCTCAAAAGATAGAGCTAGATCCAAATTCTTGTAACGTTGATGTCCCTTGTGCAAAAAATGTTGTATGCTTGAAAAAGAGTACGTTGCTCATTGAATTGTTGCACCAACATAACTTTACAGCTAAATCAATTTCTCAAAGGTTATCTATCATGAAAATTTTGTATCGGCACACAACAGAGTTGCATGATTTTGACACAATGTTTCCACAGCCAGTTTTACTGGCGCAAGACATAAGTTAACAGCTAATATTGCATCGAACTCATTATTAGTTACCTCAACTTTGGACTCAAGGGCAGAAAGTGACTCGTGAATGCATTTTTTTAATTATACAAAACGTTCGAGTACTGTGTGCAAGCTAACCCAGCTAGTTTTGGATAAAAGTATTAGTGGAATATCTTTATCAAATTTTTCTAACGTGCGTTTTTGAATTTTGATCATTTTTTGTCGGAGAACGGCGAAATAAAAATTTCACAACGGTGCGCACCTTTTTGATTAACGGCTGCAAATCATCAGTCAGTTCAATAGAGTCATTCTCTTCACTCGTTACAACTTGAAACCCGCCGGAAAAGTCTTCATTATTATTGGTTATGTTTGTGTCATCAGTATTTCCTCGTCACTTTCTCTGTTATTGCATATTACTTTCAAATTTTTTTTGTAGAAATTGACGATTTTTTTGTACAAAATATCTTGAATACCTAGTTGAATCCCATGCCTAATGCACAACTGTTGATCACAGTTACTTAAACGCCCCACTTTCTACAATACCGAAAACTTTTCATATTTACGTTAGTGCAAAATTCAAACATGCGTTCTACATTAAAGCGAGTGACGTAATGATAATATTTTAAATTGGGGCTTCATTATTTAATGAAAACACGAAAGTAAATGGAATACTTAAAACTTCCAGTCACGATTAAACAACGCTTCCAGTAAGAAAAAGATAGCTAGATGA